CTAAAAAAGTATGAAAGTTTTTGGAAAAGAAAAGAAAACCGTAGTCGTATAAAATTATATGTAGAAACTCAGTTTAATTATACGAATTTTACGAATTTAGACATTTTCTTCTTGTTTTTTCTAGTTTTATTTTGTTAAGATATTTCGCGGTTAATTTCTCGTGCTCGGATGTACGTTCGCGTCCTTACCAGGCATAAAATTACTTCTGTAAAATTTTAATACAAACTGTATACAATAATTGTTTTCGAGAGAACATACAAAATTTAAACAAGTATGTGCGCCCGCAATACCAAACGACTCCAATAAGCATCGCGTCGTCTGGCCGTCTGACAACCATTTTATCCGGCCGAAGTACGCCGGACGTTGCCGAGACTGCATGAATGTGACGTAGGCAAGCTGCTGCGCACGAGCCTTCTAAATTCGTCCACCGGATGAGCAAACCCTTGTCTTTCTACCATGGTAAAGACAGCAAAAATTGCGTCTTGCAATAAGTGCCAAATTTTATAAGAAATGGTGCTTCAATAAGTTAGATAAGGACAATGTACGTGTTTGAGTAAAACAGCGAATATTGTAATAAGTTCATTTAGAGATACCAGAGGGGATGTTGGAGAGGAGTGAGGCTGAAGGAGAGAAAGATATATATCTTGACGTATGCGGATGATCTGATGCTAGGCGGACGAGGAAGGGAGAATGAGGGCGATGATGGCGAGTTTGGAAAAGTATACAAGGGAGAAGGGATTGGTAGTAAATGTGGGAAAATTGAAAGTGATGAGGTTTGGAAAAGGGGCAGGGAAGAGAAAGATAAAATGGAGGTGGGAGGAGAAAGTGATAGAGAAAGTCAACGAATTTAAGTACATGGGATATGTGTTCCAGAGGAACAGCAGACAGGATAAGCAAGTGAGGATTGAGGGATAGGGTAAGTAGGGGGATAAAGGCGATGGAATAGGTGTGGGGTATAGGAAAGAGGAGGTTTAAAATGGGGAAGAAGGATATGGACATTTGATGCGTTGGTATGGATAGGTGATGTGGTTTATGGGGTGGAAGTATTGGGTGTGGGAAGGAAGGAAGCGGATGAAAAGAATGCAGGAGATATTTGAAATGGATGATAGGAGGAAGTTGGAATATACGCCAAATTATATGATAAGAGAGGAATTTCAAAGGAAAAAGTTAAGAGCAAGAACGGGCAGGAAGGCTTGGGGCTATAAAGAGAGCTTAGCAAAAGGGAAAGGGAATGAATTGGCGAAGAAGTGTTGGGAGGAGATAAAAGAGAGAACAAAGAGGAGAGAAAGACTATCAGAATGGAAATAGGAGGAAGAATTTCTTTGAGGAAAGAGGGGCGGAGGTAGGGAGAGGAGAGAGAGAAAGAGAGAAAGAGAGAAAGAGAGAGAGAGTTCGAATACGGAAAAATAGAGGAAAGGGACAGAGGAAAGAAAAGGGAGGAGATGAGAGGGTAAAAGGAGAAAGTCCGCCAGAATATTTGATAAAGGGCTGGGTGGAAAATAAATGGAGTAGATTGACGAGATACAGATTGGAAGGAGTGAGAGAAGGGTTATATTGGAAGAAAAAAGACAGGATGTGCAAAATGTACGCAATGAAGATGAAAACGTAGAAGCGTGTGGGAAGAATGTGGACGATGAGGCTCGATAAATGAACAAAAATAAGGTAGTATTAGAAGAGAAAGAGGAAGGAGAGGAAATGATTGAGGAAATTGGAGAAATTTAGGAATGAAGCGATGGGAGAAGACGAACAAGAGGAGAAAAACGAGGAGGAGAAGAGAGAATAAGGAGTAAGAAAGAGAGAAAGAGGGAGGGGAGAGAGGAGGGGGTAGAGAGAGAGAAAGAGGGAAAGAGAGAGAAGTGGAAAGAGGAGGAAGAGAAAGAAAATGTAGAACTGGAAGATAAAGCTAAGACTGAAAAGAGAAACAATTGCGACGGAAGTGAAGGTCCTAGGACGACATGTAAATGTGTATGTACTTGGCGAGCGGGCGAATTAGTTGTAAGCTAGAAATAAATTAGTTTTAAGAAGTTTAGAATTAAGGTAGCGATGAGGATTGTGTAAGGATTTGTAGCTCTAAGAGAATAAACTATTTATCTATCTATCTATCATTTAGAGATACTATTGAAATTGAACAGACAGTTTTAACGACTTCGTGCAAATTTGGCCAACCTTTCAGCATCCCCTTAACTATACATATTTTCAATTAGAAAAATTTTACAGAGATTTTTATTCAGAAAAAGAACATGCATGATATAATTTTTATTTATACAACAGGAAGTAAAAAGATTAAACATAATGGCTATATTGTTTTATAATATGGTTGAAGTGATAAGCGCTTGTAATAAGCACTGAAAAAGAAGTACTCTTGCAGTTTCTCCAATTTATTTTTAGCCGTTAACTGAAGAAAACTAACTTATGGAAATCAGCTACAAATCATGAAACTCTTATATGCTCATAAACAAAATCCACCAAATAAAAGGTAAATAAAATAGAGTGCTGCATGTGATCTAATTTCAGAAAAAAGACTTATATTAGAGTAATCTTGATATTGCTTAAAATAAAATAAAAAGAAATCTTGTACCTCTTTGAAAACTTTACATCTCTTCGGGCTTTTTTAAATATTGTACATTCGCGCTTAGACTCAAATTAAATTTTATAATTTATGTACAATATAATCATATATGTAAAAAGATACACAGTGTATTCAAAAAGTTCCGGGACTAATTTTTTTCCGTTCTGGACTAGAGCACAAGGTGTAGAGGAACCAGCTAAGAATGCGTGAGCACATAAAAAGAGACAGAAAACGAGTCGCCCATCTGCATCCTTGTTCAATCGCGCATGCGAGAAAAAGATAAAAGATGGATGTACCCTTCGCTCTATCATTTTCTTTC